TAGGATTATCACTATCGCTCTCTTCAGTGGAGCTCAATTACTTCTCAAGAACGACGGACGGAAAAGCTCACTTCGACTAGGGAAAAACTGTTCACTCACCAGCATGGCAGGATCCATTGTGATGTGCAGAATGTGGACAGCGACAATTGGCGCCATTCCATCGGTTAGCGCATTTCGCACTTGTGGAGCAAACGCCTTTGTCACAGAAGTCCTTCCGAGGAGCACATCCCTCGTTCACCATTCCACGGACGTCCATTTCAGCCAACGACGAAAATTCGATTAGTTCATCATTCAACCGTGTCAATTGGACGATGTGCAACCTGAGCGCGTCATTTCATTTCATGACGCAGTAGAGATAAAGCTCTTAAGATGCGTCTTTTATTGAACTTACCAGTGAATCCTTGCTCTATTTTTCCGGAAAGTGCTGGTCTACCGCCAAGGAAGATCCCGTTGTAGACGTCTAGGAAACGGAAACATGGGACCGACAAATCAACACACCTGCAAAAAGCAAATTTTATCGAAAATGTCGTACCATAATGACAAATTTCGAGGTTGCGGGTGGTAATCTGACTAAGAGAATGATTTTCTAACCAACTCCACCCTTGTGGAAAATTTCCATAAGAATCTAGTCCAGATTTCACAAGGGAGCAACAAAGAATAAATAGTGGGCACTCCGGCCCAGCCTTCTATTTTTACTTTACTTTTTTTATCGGCAATCAACTGTGCAACAAAAATCAAATTTAGAGGCAAGGCCTTCACGATCAATTTCTTTGGGAGCATCATATCCAATCCGAAGGATATTACTGCCCACTGAAATGTCATGGTGTAGATCAGTGATTCCGAATGGAAGCACAGTAGGGTTTGCGAATACCAAAAATGGCTAATTGACGTAGAATTTTTTGTAGATTACATATTTATGTTCTTTTTACCAAAACATTTCGGTTTCTGAACGGAGCTAATCAGCGCCAGGGCCAGCACCAGGATGGGAGAAATGGCGGTGTCAGATGACGAGTACCACTAAGTTCTTTTCCGGAACGGCCCCCCTCTCTCTCCCTCTCCCCCCCACCATTGTACCTACCTTCTTCGTAAGATTTCTCAACTCGATACCGATTATTTCCCGTTTTCCAAAAAAAATTTCCAATTTTTCCCCAAATGCTGCCGTTGAGGAGAGGGGTTTATACAGTACGTTGGCGTTCTTCAGCGAAGAAGAGTATTCCGACCGATGAAGGGAGAGGGAGGGGAACGTAGTTGCTTTTCAAGAGAGATGTTTTCGGTTGCTTACTTTTGACTTTTACTGTTTCATTGTTTCAAGTACGCAATCACCTCGACTCGCTCCACGGTAGTTTTCGGGGGAAAATGGTAGAAAGCTGGGAGAATTTGGCAAGATTGTAGGTAAGATGGTGGGATAGGGAAGGATCGCACCAGAGGAGAAACTTCTGAGGGGGTGGGGTCGTACACAGTTTTTTCACAATGGCAGGACGTGCTCTGGCCCAGGGACATAGTGAAGAAGGGACGGTAAAAACCACAAAAAGTCGACAAACGAGTAAGGGACGGTAAAAACCACAAAAAGTCGACAAACGAGTAACCCCTTTCAATACTAAGTAGGTCCCCTCGATCCAATATGACTCTCATTTCCGACGACAGAGCACAACATTTCTGACGCTATACTCCCAACGATGCTGTGCCCTGACACAGCATTCACAAGTCCCGTCCGAAGCCCTAATATCGTCCAGTGGCGCAAGATGTCCCCTGGCCAGCTGATGAGATCCGAAATGTCTCTAAATTGTGGGCTACTTCCCTCTAGAATAAAGCGCTGAATCGCGCGAGACACAAGCGCAAACTGAGTTAGAATTGAAATCGGACTCGTCACCGATCCGGCGGGTAAATTGCTAATTACTCAATATCAAATAAGATGGACCAGTTGCTTAGTCGGGTGACAGCTGGTACTTACTTGGGTGGTAAGTCGATCCTTGCATGAGCGGCACATGGAGCAGCTCCGTGAGCGTGCAGGGAGACGAACGCATCACAGTCGTCGAGCAGTAAGGTAAGGTGCTGAAACAGAAATATTTCTCTTTGTCCCGTGGGCCAGCTTTTCCCGTAGAACTTACCCGATCGTAGTAAATGACATGGACAGTATGCCACTCGCCGTCATTTACCCTGTTCCTCCGCTCGCTCTCCATGCGCACTACTTTTGGCTGGTCGCCAAGTGAAAATTCTGCCTTGAGAACGCGGTCTTGGATGGAAATCTCAATGAAATCCGAGTTACGGTCTCCAGAGAAAAGCAGGACCCCGTCATGGGCGATTGTAGCCATTCTGAAAGAAATGATTGAATGCTGCAGGGGAAAAGAAAAAAGCCAAAAAAGTTCATAGAGCTGCAAAGGGCACACGCTGAAAGATTCAATTTCTGAGCTAATGCAAAGCCATAGGTAGGTCTCAAGAACTCACCTGAAACTCAGCTGCCATTCGAGTCTGCTCAGAGCCTTGTTGATGTTCACCAGTCCTCTGCCTTCAAATCCCAAAGAGCGCAGTCGGCAACGCTCGTCCACATCTGTCGGGGCATACTCACAATGCTTACAAACCATTTTTCCATCGACAAGTTCGCACACAGAACCGCCTTTGCAGTGCTGAGGAGTGCATGTAAGCGAATGGAGGGCGATATCACATTGTTCACCTGAAACATAGACAAGTAAGCACACCAATGCTTTCAACAATCTGAGTATAAGCCAGGTGCATGGCTTATCCCAAGAGATCATGGACAGCAGTAACTACTTTGGCTTTTTTTTTCGTCCCTTGATGAGGAATATTGCGATCTTTCAACCGAAATCCCAGTAGGATCAATGACCCCTTAATCCCTGATTAGCTCCTGTATCGCCACCGTAATCCGCAAGTGTTTTCAGCCAGATGTGTTCGGGTGCAAACCATTGACCCCTGCATGAGCGCCCTCATCTCTTCGCAGGGCACAATCTGTTTTCAGAACATTTATGCATTCAGTCAATTTCCTGGCGAGTAGCCGTGGTCATTATAGGCTGTAATTAACCCTAAGAGGGTCAGACCAAATTAGCTTCCAAACGGGAAGTGAATTGGAAAGAGTGGGTGAGTAGGAGAGAGCGGCGGGTAGCCACGTTATGGGATGTTTCCTTCCTCTTGTTGAACAACTTGGGTCAACGATTGTGTTGGCGGTTGCTGAAGAGTCTGTAGCTGGAGGAAACTCGCTCGGACTAGCTTGACATGAGAATAGCTGAGTGATACTACTTGATGAAGTCACAAACAGTCACGATAGCTTATTCTGACCACTGGGGTTTTGGGATAGCTCCACCTGCTTTTCTACATTTCGAATGGTAGTGGCACCACCTCTAGGCGTAGTTGGGCTTGGTGGGGGCAAGAAATGGTATTCAAAATGAGACCTGTGACTTAAGAGGAACTAGCAAAAGGACTAACGGAAGGTGCAAAGTGCTTCTCCCAAGCCGATCAGCGCCGCTTGATCCAGTGCTACTAGGTCGATCAACTCTTGCTGAGTCCGAGATGGTACGGAGAGCGATGCCGTAGTTTTCTATACTTTGATTTTTTGCAGTATTCTATACTTTGATTATTTTGCAGTACCTCGCGAAGTGCCTCACTACCAAGGCCTCCACTCAAGCTCTGATGTTAGAATGTTCACTAGGTACAGTATATCAAATGAATTCGTGTTGGCATCAATCTTGCGCACTGCTCTAGAATTATTCTTTATT